CAGAGGCCAGGTGGGGCTGCCCTGCCCTGCCCTGCAGAGGCAACTCCCTGAACTGACACATGAAGCCTCTAGGCTCCAGGAAGCTCCCCAGAGCCCAGCCTGCCTGGGGACTCCACCCAACTTCCAAAAGAGCATTCCTGGGGCCTGAGGTCTGGGGGTGGGGCCTCCTGGGATTGTAAGGGTGGGGAGGTTCAGTTGTGGGAGGATGCAGGGCTGTGTACCCACAGTAAAAGTGGAGGGCACCTTGTGTACAGGCACACAGGTGTGCGTGTAAGCCAGTGTGTGGGGGGCTCTATCCTGACGTGTGCAAGGTTCTGGATACAAGAGTTACTATATAAGTGGGCTGAGCTGGGGGTGTTGGAGGGTTGTGTATATAGCACATTGGAGTGAGGGGTACGCAGGATTCAGAGTGTGTCCTGGGCAGGTGTGGGAATACTGGAGTGTTGTGTGTGCCACACCGGATGGTGTATGTGTACAGTGTCAGTCTACACTGGAGAGGTGTGTAGGCAAAAACCTGAACACCCTGGGGTGATAGGTGGGTTCGCTGGACGGTGTGGTGTGTGTACACACTGGGATCTCTCCGTGTGTCCCTGGGAAAGCATGTGTTCGGGGCTGGGTGTTGTGTGCACATGGCACCATTTGTGCTTTGGAGGTGGGCTGGGCAAGCCTTCAGCTGAGCTGGGCTCAGCAGTGCCCAGCCTTGTGGCCAAATCACTGAAGTCACTTCCTTTCCAGCAGCAACTTTCCAGGAGGAGGAGTTCTTCAGACCTGGGCAGGGAGGGGTGGGGGGCGGAACAAGGAGCTCTCAGGGGAAGGAGGTGGGCGGGGGTGAGAGGCTGTGGGGAGGGCCTGGTGGGGCTGGAGGAGGGGAGTCCTCTGGGAGACGGAGGGAAAGACAAGGACAGAAGTCTGGAAGGGCCAAGGGCAGGAGGGGATGGGGGCGGAGCAGGGCGGGAAGCACAGTCCCTGGGTGACCTCAGAGGGAGGAAGGGAGGGCCTCCAGGCAGGGTGACCCTCGGGTTCAGCCAGAGCTGGCTGTGGTGCCTGCACACCTGGCACCCAGGTCAGGGGGCTGGCAGGGGCGGGTCTAGGGCAGACCTGCTTGCCAGGTGCCCCACTCCATGCAGGAAGGGGGTGGGCGAGGGCCGCACAAAGGAGCTCTGTGTGTCTGGGGGTAGGGTGGGGTGTGCAGTGCTGGGGCGGGGGCTGCTGGCTCCGGGGAGCAGGGCGGGGCTTGCTCCCCTTGGGGGCATCAGTGGCTCTGAGGGGACACCTAGTGGTGAGGGAGGATAGTGCAGCAGGATGGCTGAGGTGCGAGGGGTGGGTGACGAAGCTGGCAGGGGGTAGATTAGAATTCAAAAATTAAAACTGGTGGTTGGGACGAGAACGGTGGCAGGAGGCTGCAGAGGAAGGGCTGACCCTCTGGACAGTGAAGAAGTTCGGTTTAGAGGATCCCAGCAAACCTAAATTAACACTTCAGCTCTTCCACCTCGTGGCTGTTGGTCCTTAAAGGCATAGCTTAACCTCTCTGGGCCTCCATTTAAATGCCAAATAAGTGACAGCTACCAGTATTTTTTCATTATTGTTGTTTTTGTTGTCACTTTGGGTGGGAGTCAGGTTGGAAGATTTTTAGGTGTAATTGGGAGGGAGGGAGGGAGGGAGGGGGCAGACGAGGAGGAGACTGAGAGGGGTGTTGCCTAGTTCCTGGGGGGACAGGTCCTGGGAGATGAAGGCCCAGAGGGGAGATGCTGGAGCTCTCGAAGCAGCTGCAGTAATGGCCCTTTTGATGTCGTGTTTTCCATTTGAGGACATCCCTGGGCCTTCAGTCCAGGCCGGGAGGGAAATGGTGGGGGGGTGGGGGGAGGAGTATGCAGGCAGGAGAGAGGAGGATGTGGGCTGGCGCTTCCCGGCACTGTGCACAGCAGGTTGGGGCCCCCTCCCAGCCGTCTGGTGTCCCCATGGGCAGGCTCAGACACACTGACCCAGAAGCTGTCAGAGGGACAGAAAGATCCTTTTGACTCTGTTCACAGACATGGGATAGGTGGTACCCTTGGGAGGGGTCCAAGCAAACGGCCACCTGGGTGTGGTGGGGAGAAGAGCCAGCTGCTTCCTTCAGATCCCAGGGCCTGCAAGAGAGAGCAGAGGACAGTCAGGAGGTCTGGCAGGAGGACATGCCCAAAGGTCTTCATGGGTGGGTGGAACAGAAGCAACCACTGGAAAGGAGGTTTTTCTCTCTGCCAAGATCGCAGCCGCTAGTCCCAAGTGGGAGGTCTCTAGAGCAGGGAGGCTCAGTAAACACCACCCTCAGCGAGGGCAGGATGGTGGCTTCTGGTAGGCGGCTCTCGGAAGGTATCGGGAGCCATGGTCAACCACAGTGTTGGAAATCAGAATTGGAGACTCCCGAGCCTGCGCCCCTTCCCTCCTGTGTGAGGGTGTCACCCACAGTCCTTTCTGCAAGAGCAGGGTGGGATTCTTGGAGCAGAGAGAGCCTCGTGAGCCTGGCCTGGGAGGGGCTAGGCATGGGCAGAGCAGAACCCTGAGTGATCCAGTAGGCAGGACTAGGTTGAGGACCAGCTAAGGCCTGGGAGCTGCAGGGAGGGAAGGGACAGTGGACAGAGGGATGTTCTGCTGGAATGAGCAACCGAAGGGCCCTCCCCAGGCCTTGAGCAAAGTCTCTTTCCCGCTTCGATCTCAGTTTCCTCATCTGTAAAATGGGAGGGGCTCGAGGTGGCACTAAAACATTGTACCCACTGAGCAGGGAGCTGTTTGAAAATACAGATTCCCAGCCCAGCCGCTGCAGCTCAGTGATTGAGCGCCGACCCATGCCCCAAGAGGCTGCCTGTTCGATTCCCAGTCAGGGCCCAGACCGGGTGCAGGCTCTATCCCCAGCAGGGGTGTGCAGGAGGCAGCTGATCGATGTTTCTTTCTCATTGATGTTTCCTTCTCAGTGATTTTCTATGTCCAACTCCCTCTCCCTTCCTCTCTCTGAACAAATAAAAGCCCTAGCCAGTTTGGAAGGCTTCCTTCGCAGACTGGATTGAAGGCCCAGTGGATAGAGCGTCGGCCTCTGGCCCGAAGAGTCCCGGGTTCGAGTCTGGTCAAGGGCATGTACCTTGGTTGCTGGCTCCTCCCTGGGCGCCAGGCCCTGGTCGGGGCTCGTGCAGAAGGCAACCAATTGATGTGTTTCTCTCACATCGATGTTTCTCTCTATCTTTCCCTCTCTCTTCCACACTCCCTAAAAATCAATGGAAAAATATCCTCTGTTAAGGATTAACCGACCCCCCACCCGACCCCCCAAAAAAATTAAATAAGTAAAAATACAGATTCCCAGATGTCCCTTCAGATCTGTGAGTCAGACTCCCCTGGACTAGGGCCTGGGCATCTGGAATGTTCCGCAGCTCCCCCAGGCCCAGGGTTTGGAAGCCAGTGGGTTCGATGGTTTTAAGGTTCCTCCCAGCCTTAAATTAGATCACAGCTCTAGAAGGAGCATTTTCAGGAGTGGCTGAAGGAGAGTCGCAGGAGCTGGGAGGAGAAGGAGGCTTTGGACTTAGGGCAGAATTAGGAATCCTGCCACTTAGCAGCTATGTTACTTCAGGCAAGTTACACAATCGCTCTGAGCCTGTTGCCTCTGTAAGGAGGGGAAGATAAACCATGAATCCTGGGTTGCTGTAAGGATTCAGTGGGTCGTATGTGTGGAGATGCTTGGTAGATTGCAAATCGATGTCCACCAAGAGGGAGTGGAGGAGTGTCCTTACGTATACCATCCTGTCCCTGAGTCGGGTCTGCAGTCTTCCTGTGGGAGACAGCACAGGGCAGTGTGGCCACCAGTGAGAGTCTGCAGGTGTCTGTGGGGGATGGACCCTGGGGATTAGGTCAGAGCCAAACACTAGGCGCTGTCAGGATTTTTAAGACCCTGGTGGTAGTCAGGGCCCTTTCAGCTCCTTGCTCCCCAAGATCCCATCTCTTGGGGATCAGCCAAGGCCCTGAGTCCTCAGGCTCCCTTGAAAGTCGGACATGCCTGGATCTAAATCCCAGCTCTGCCCAAACCCGCTCAGGGAGTCAGTTGGTAAATATTTATGTAGCATCCATAGCCCAGGCCCTCGGGTTGGGATACAGCGGTAATAAACAAGACAGATGCAGTCCCTGCCCGTAAAGAGCCCACACTCCAGGGGGACACACTGCACAGCCAATTATACAAGTAATTGATTGCAGTCGTGATAAATACTATGAAGGTGAAATAGAGAGGGCTCTGAGAATGTTTAGCTGTGGGGTGGGGGCGTCAGAAAATGGTCCCTTTCCACATCCTTGTCTTCCTTCCCTCATCCTCCTTCTTGGGTCACACTTGGGTCTGGGGAGGATTAAGAGAGAGCCCGTGAGGGCTCTGTGTGCTTCATGCATCCATTCAGTATTTTCTGAAGCGCACTTGTGGGCCGTGTGCTGATCAGGGCGTTGGGAGATACACACAGAAGTGAACAGGACAGAAATCCTTGCCCTCGTGGTGCTTAAAACCTCACAGTGGGTGGTTTCCTCATCTGTAAAAGTGGGGATGATAATCATATTGATCTTAGGTTTGTAGGAAGTTAGATGAGATAATCCACATGAACTGCTTAGGCCAGTGTTTGGCAACAGAGAAAAGTCCCCGAAGTATGAGCTTCTGTTGTTGTTGACTCCCTGGTGTGATTGCTAAACCTCTGACCTCAGGCACTTTTCACTTTCTCTTTGCAGCTTTTATCCCAGTAATAATTAAGTCATTTTGATTATCTGATGTTTTGTCTACCCAGTCCTTGTGCAAAGTAGGCACGCCATAAATAATATGAGTGAATGATGTTACTTCATCTCTGAGCCTCCATTTCTTCATCTGCAAAATGGGGTTATTAATAGCCCCTACCTCACAGGACTGGTATGAAGAATTAAATGAAGTGATGCCTGGACAGCTTTCAGCCCAGGGCCGGGCATGCAGTAGGTGCTCACTAAACCTGAGCTGCGATGGTCCTTTCCAGGCGCTGTCCACGCCCCGAGGCCTGGGCTCAGGCCGAAGTTGTTCCACGGCACCCCCAGCTGACAGCCAGCAACTAGCAGAGCCCCCAAGCACGGGGGCCCTCTCTCTCCCAGGTCAGCCGGGTGTGTGCACTGGAGGGAGCTGCGGGGGGGTATGTGGAGGAGACCGGGCCGGAGGGCAGGTGGGCAGTGATTGGGCTTTGGTCACCAGACCATTCAGATCTCCTGTTGCCTGTCTTGTTGCCCACAGATATTTCCAGTGTGACAGCCCAGGCGGCAGAGCCGAGGGTGAGTGGCTGGGGTTCCCCTGGAACCCTGGGAATGGGGACAAGAAGGAGGGAGGCCTTGCGCTTGATAGGACTTCCTGGCTCTCTTCTTCCGTTGGCTCTGGAGTGGTTGCCCTGCCCTGCTCTTCTTCCCTTTCGGAGGCAGGTATCCTGAGCACACAGCCAGGACCTAGAAGGGGGTGCGCTGTTACTAAGAGGGACTGGGGCTTGCGAGGGCTTCAGGGTGCATGTGGTGGTTTGGGAAAAGCTGGGGGTCAACAAGCAGATCGGCTTGGGGAGGGGACTTAAGAGAGGATGCAGAGGTTCGCTGGGGATATGGGAGCTGATAGGACTGGAGTATTCAGTGAGGGACCCCCTGCCTGTCCTGCCCGGTAGGTCCTGGTCCCGGCTTCTCGCACCCTCATGTCAGCCCCGGCCCCGCCTGGTGGCCCTCGGAGGACAAGGTCAGGATGCGTGTGAAGCCCCAGGGCCTGGTGGTGACTTCCAGTGCCGTGTGCAGCTCTCCTGACTACCTCCGGGAGCCCAAGTACTACCCCAGCGGCCCCCCTACCCCCCGCCCCTTGCTTCCCACCCCACCTCCCGACCCTCGGGCGGCCCGTCCAGTCTCGCAGGCCCACTGCCCCACACCTGCTGGCGACGGCAGCAGCTCCCAACGTCACTGGGACAACGGGCGGGTGAACCTGCGTCCAGTGGTGCAGCTGATTGACATCATGAAGGACCTGACCCGGCTCTCCCAGGACCTGCAACACAGCGGTGTGCACCTGGACTGCGGTGGGCTCCGGCTTAGCCGCCCGCCCGCCCCACCCCCTGGTGACCTTCAGTATAGCTTCTTCTCCTCCCCCAGTCTGGCCAACAGCATCCGCAGCCCCGAGGAGCGGCCTACCCCCCACGCCAAGTCTGAGCGGCCCGGCCACCCCCTCTATGAGCCTGAGCCTGAGCCGAGAGACAGTCCTCAGCCCAGTCAAGGCCATAGTCCCGGAGCCACGGCCGCGGCCACTGGCCTGCCCCCGGAACCTGAGCCAGACGGCCCTGATTACTCAGAACTCGCTGATGCCGACATCCTTAATGAGCTGGCCTCCCTTACTTGCCCCGAGGCCCAGCTGCTGGAGGCCCAGGCCCTTGAGCCGCCATCGCCTGAGCCAGAGCCTCAGCTCCTGGACCCCCAGCCCCGCTTCCTGGACCCACAGGCACTAGAACCGCTTGGGGAGGCGTTGGAGCTGCCGCCCTTGCAACCTCTCGCTGACCCTCTGGGGCTGCCAAGCCTGTCTCTGCAGGCCCTGGACACCCTGCCCGACTCCCTGGAGTCACAGCTGCTTGACCCTCAGGGACTTGACCCCCTGCCCAAATTGCTTGACGTCCCCGGCCGTCGTCTGGAGCCCCAGCAGCCCCTAGGGCCCTGCCCACTGGCCGAGCCCTTGCACCTGGACCTATGCTCACCCCACGGTCCCCCTGGGGCGGAGGGACTCCCCAAGTATGCCTTGCGGCGCACTGATAGGCCAAAGATTCTGTGTCGCCGGCGGAAAGCTGGTCGGGGGCGCAAGGCAGACGCCGGACCTGAGGGCCGCCTGCTGCCCCTGCCTATGCCCACGGGGATGGCGGCCGCCCTGGCGGAGCCTCCACCACCACCGCCTCCACCACCCCCTGCCCTGCCGGGCCCAGGCCCAGAGCTGGAGCTGGACTCTTCCCAGAACCCAATGATTCCTGCCCGCAAAACCAAGTGCCGGGGCGTGCGCCGCATGGTGGTGAAGATGGCCAAGATCCCCGTGTCGCTGGGGCGGCGGAACAAGACCACGTACAAGGTGTCCTCCCTGAGCAGCAGCCTGAGCGTGGAGGGCAAAGAGCTGGGCCTGCGTGTGTCGGCCGAGCCCACCCCGCTGCTGAAGATGAAGAACAACGGCCGGAACGTGGTGGTGGTCTTCCCCCCCGGCGAGATGCCCATCATCCTCAAACGTAAGCGTGGCCGCCCTCCTAAGAACCTGCTGCTGGGTCCCGGCAAGCCCAAGGAGCCAGCCGTGGTGGCGGCGGAGGCCACCACTGTGGCAGCAGCCACCATGGCCATGCCGAGCCGACGCCAACGACAGCAAGGCCGAGTACTCGGACGTGCTGGCCAAGCTGGCCTTCCTGAACCGCCAGAGCCAGTGTGCCGGGCGCTGCTCACCGCCCCGCTGCTGGACACCCAGCGAGCCCGAGTCGGTGCATCAGGCCCCCGACACCCAGAGCATCTCCCACTTCCTGCACCGCGTGCAGGGCTTCCGGCGGCGTGGTGGCAAAGCAGGTGGTTTCGGGGGCCGGGGTGGGAGCCACGCGGCCAAGGCAGCCCGATGCTCCTTCAGTGACTTCTTTGAGGGCATCGGCAAGAAGAAGAAGGTGGTGGCAGTGGCAGCTGCCGGGGTGGGGGGCCCCGGCCTCACCGAGTTGGGCCATCCCCGCAAACGGGGCCGTGGGGAGGTGGATGCCCTCACGGGGAAGCCCAAACGCAAGAGGCGGTCCCGGAAGAATGGGACTCTGTTCCCAGAGCAGGTGCCCAGTGGCCCCGGCTTTGGGGAGGCAGGCGCCGAATGGGCCGGGGACAAGGGTGGTGGCTGGGCCCTTCACCATGGGCACCCAGGTGGGCAAGCTGGCCGGAACTGTGGGTTCCAGGGGACTGAGGCCCGGGCCTTTGCCTCCACTGGGCTGGAGAGCGGGACCTCAGGCCGTGGCAGCTACTACAGCACGGGCACGCCTGCGGGCCAGAACGAGCTCAGCCAGGAGCGCCAGAACCTCTTCACTGGCTATTTTCGCTCCCTGCTCGATTCAGATGACTCCTCCGACCTCTTGGACTTTGCCCTTTCAGCCTCACGCCCTGGCCCTGAGTCCCGGAAGACATCGGGCACCTATGCGGGGCCCCCAACCAGCGCCCTGCCTACCCAGCGGGGCCTGGCCACATTCCCCAGCCGGGGAGCCAAGGCCAGCCCAGTGGCGGTGGGCAGCAGTGGCCCTGGAGCGGACCCCTCCTTTCAGCCTGTCCTGCCTGCTCGCCAGACCTTCCCACCAGGCCGGGCGGGGAGCTACGGGATAACCCCAGCCACTTCAGATTGCCGGGCAGCGGAGACCTTTCCGAAGCTGGCTCCTCCGCCTTCGGCTGTGGCCCGCTCACCCACCACCCACCCGCCTGCCAACACCTACACCCCCCAGTACGGTGGCTATGGGGCTGGACAGAGTGTATTCGCCCCAGCAAAGCCCTTTACGGGCCAAGACTGTGCTAACAGCAAGGACTGCAGCTTTGCCTATGGCAGCGGCAACAGCCTGCCCGCCTCGCCCAGCAGTGCCCACAGCGCTGGCTATGCCCCACCGCCTACTGGTGGGCCCTGCCTGCCACCAGGCAAGGCCTCCTTCTTCAACAGTTCTGAGGGGGCTGCCTTCTCTGGTTCAGCCCCCACACCCCTGCGCTGTGACAGCCGGGCCAGCACGGTCTCGCCTGGCGGCTACATGGTGCCCAAGGGCACCACAGCCTCTGCTGCCTCCTCCTCCTCCTCCTCCTTCCAGCCCTCACCTGAGAACTGTCGGCAGTTTGTGGGGGCTTCTCAGTGGCCTTTCCGGCAGGGCTATGGAGGCCTGGACTGGGCCTCGGAGGCCTTCAGTCAGCTCTACAATCCCGGTTTCGACTGCCATGTCAGCGAGCCCAACGTGATCCTGGACATCTCCAACTACACGCCACAGAAGGTGAAGCAGCAGACAGCCATGTCCGAGACCTTCTCCGAGTCGTCCTCCGACAGCACCCAGTTCAATCAGCCGGTCGGAGGCGGCTTCAGGCGTGCCAACAGCGAGGCCTCGAGCAGCGAGGGCCAGTCCAGCCTGTCCAGCCTGGAGAAACTCATGATGGACTGGAACGAGGCCTCATCGGCCCCCGGCTACAACTGGAACCAGAGCGTCCTCTTCCAGAGCAGCTCTAAGCCCGGCCGCGGACGGCGGAAGAAGGTCGACCTGTTTGAGGCCTCACATCTGGGCTTCCCGTCATCCGCCTCAGCCACTGCCTCAGGCTACCCGTCCAAACGGAGCACAGGGCCCCGGCAGCCCCGGGGCGGACGGGGCGGTGGGGCCTGCTCAGCAAAGAAGGAGCGGGGCGGCGCCGCAGCCAAAGCCAAGTTCATCCCCAAGCCACAGCCCGTCAACCCGCTGTTCCAGGACAGCCCCGACCTCGGCCTGGACTACTACAGTGGGGACAGCAGCATGTCACCACTGCCCTCGCAGTCAAGGGCCTTTGGTGTGGGTGAGCGAGACCCCTGTGACTTCATGGGACCTTACTCCATGAACCCGTCCACGCCATCTGACGGCACCTTTGGCCAAGGCTTCCACTGCGACTCACCCAGCCTGGGTGCCCCCGAGCTGGATGGCAAGCATTTCCCCCCGCTGGCCCACCCGCCCACGGTGTTTGATGCTGGCCTGCAGAAGGCGTACTCACCCACCTGCTCACCAACACTGGGCTTCAAGGAAGAGCTGCGGCCGCCACCCACAAAGCTGGCTGCCTGTGAGCCCCTCAAGCATGGGCTCCCGGGGGCCAGCCTAGGCCATGCGGCTGCAGCCCAGGCCCACCTGAGCTGCCGGGACCTGCCACTGGGCCAGCCCCACTACGACTCCCCCAGCTGCAAGGGCACAGCATATTGGTACCCGCCAGGCTCGGCTGCACGCAGCCCACCCTATGAAGGCAAGGTGGGCACAGGGCTGCTAGCTGACTTCCTGGGCAGGACGGAGGCTGCGTGCCTCAGTGCCCCACACCTGGCTAGCCCACCAGCCACACCCAAGGCCGACAAGGAGCCCCTGGAGATGGGCCGGCCACCTGGTCCACCCCGTGGCCCTGCTGTAGCCGCTGCTGGCTATGGCTGCCCGCTCCTTAGTGACTTGACCCTGTCCCCTGTGCCAAGGGACTCACTGTTGCCCCTGCAGGATACCACCTATAGGTATCCAGGCTTTATGCCACAGGCGCATCCCGGCCTGGGTGGGGGCCCCAAGAGCGGCTTCCTGGGGCCCATGGCGGAACCTCACCCTGAGGACACATTCACCGTCACCTCCCTGTAGTGCCAACTGAAGTGCCGACTGGACCTCGAGGTTTTGTTCCTGGGTGAGTCTGGGGATGTGGGTGCAGTGGGAAGAGGCCTGGGGGTTGGGGGCGGAGATGGGGACGTTAGAGGTTGGCCGAGGAGAAGAGGTATAGTGATGAGCAGGAAGAATTTAAGGACAAGATTGGGGGCCTGAAAACAAGGAGTTGGGATTCAGTAAGGAGTCCAGGGTTAGATTTGGGGAACAGTCTTATGGAAATGGGTTGCTTGGGCGCAGAACCCAGCATGGGACTTGGATGTTATTCAAGTGACAGGAGAACCGTACACTGGACAGTCTCATCTAGTTTGGTTCATCAAGATATTTCCTTCATTCATGCGAGGGCCTTGACAGGCACATTTGAGTCCCAGGAAACAGTCACCACTTGACCTCACGTAAGGGAGGCGTTTGAATTGCTCTGTGAAGGGGAGGCAGGTTGTGTAATTGTCTGCCAGGGCCCATCCAAGTTACCGCCCTGACCTGCTCCTTCGTTTGCCTACGAGCTTCACTTAGTCTCAGGCGCAGTCTGGCGAGGGCCAGGTTAAAGGTGCAGCCAGGATGGTGGGTCATACACTCTCTACGGGCTTTATAGAAGGGCCTGGAGTATCCTTTCCTGGTCACCCATGGTCCCCTCAAAGGCTGTTTTTCGAAGTCTTTGGCCTGAGGTAGGCTCACTGTGGTCGGGCATGTGGGGTGGGGATCCAGAGGGGAGGAGGGGGTGCTGGGGTCCTGCTGAGCCGGTGTCAGTGGGCCATCCCTGGGCAGGATGTCTCCTGCCTGGAAAAAGCCAGGCCCTTTCCTGAAGCCAAATGCTTTTCCAAGAGCTCAGTTAAATGTTGATAGATATTCAGGTGTCTTTATCAGGCACTGTGACCTCCATAGTTAGAGTCACAGTATTATGCTCTCGAGATTTTATGTTTTAGGAAAGGAAAATAAAAGGGGAGAAGGTTGGAGAAATCATTTTCTTGATGAACAGCCTGCTCCAGAAATACAGGCACAACTGGCCCATCAGATCCCACTTTTGAACAACAGACCTGTCGCAGGACTGGCTCAGGTGTGGTGGCGGTGGAGTGGGCTGGGGCCCTGTCTGAGCCCCTCTCTCTTCACCTCTGCTGCCACTGCGGCCTCCTGGGAGCGGCTCTTCCTTGAGAAAGAATAGCAGGGCTCCTGGAAAGCCCCGTCCCTGATCTGGGGAGGCCATTCAAGGCCAGGGTGACTCCGGGTCCTGAAGTCATGTCAGTGGAAACTTATTACACCCTCCCTGCCTGACCTCAGCTCCCTTAGTGCCTGAAGGTGGCAAAGGGCAGCATGTGGGAGGCAGGAGGCCTAGAGAAGGACCATTCCCCAATTGGCCATCAACTTGCTATATGCCCTTGACCAAGCTTTTATCCCCGCCCCACTCCAGCCTCGGTTTCCCCATCTGTTCAAGGAAATTTACTTTGATACTCTCTTAGCCCCTTGCAACTCTGCATGGCATAGACAATGGATCAAACGTATTTGCGGGGGGAGGGCAGCTTATTTTTCCTCCTAATGAAGCCAGGCCGAGATTAAAATGGCCTCCCATCCCCGTGCGTCTTACTGCAAGCAGTAGAGCCACAGATCTGAAGCAGGGCAGGGGGAAGCTGCTTAGGGTTTAAAATGTCAAACTCTTGATCCTTCTCACTGGAGGGGAGATGTCTCATGGATCATCAGAAATGTGAAATAATCCGAAAACCATTCCTCCCAGGCTCTGGGTGGGAAAATAAATAGGTGTGGGGGCTGGGTGTTTGGGCAGGTCACAGCTCAGTGAGATACATAATGGAGCCACCAGTGAGGCCTGAACACAGGAGGAACTGGGACACCATCCAGCCCCACATTCTGGCCCTGCTCCCTGCTCAGAGCTAGGAGTTGACAGCACTGTCCTCAAACCAATGCATTCAGTTATTCCAAAGACATCTGTCCAGCACGCACTACGTGCCAGGCATGGGGACACCACAGTGAATACCATGAGTGAGATCTTGGTCCTGGGGTGGGGGTGGGGGCTTCCAGTTTAGAGGGAAAGACAGTAAACAGGATGGCGCAAAGTACTTGGGAAATAACACCGTAGGAAGGACTGCAAAGAGAAGAAAAGCTAGGAGGCCGTGAGAAATGCTGACCAGATGGGGTGGGAAGAGCATTCTGGGCAGAGGGGACAGCAGTGGGTAAAGCCCTGAGGCAGGAAGGAGCTCGGCTGTGAAGACAGTAGCGCTGAGTGAGGGGGCGAGGCAGGCAAAGCCAGCATCACGCCGGGCATCGGAAGGAGTTGGAACCGTCTTCCAAGACAAATAGGGAGCCACTGAGGTGAGCCCTCAGCTGGGACGTGCCAAGGGTCGCGGTGGAGCAGGGCAGGTGGTGAAGGAGGGCGCCCAGGCAGGCACTGCGGACGGCTCTGACCGAGGCCATGGTAGAGCTGCCTCCCTTTATCTGAGATGGCACCCCAGTTCCCTCTCCTGAGACAGCCTTCCAGGGCCAGGCACTGACGAAAACCACTGTGGGGACGAAGGTTTGGGGATACAGGGCATGGAACGGTGAGGAGGAAGAGTTAGCAGAGGGAGTGTCCCTGTCAACAGGACGTAAGCAGAGAGGACAGTGACAGGCTCGTTCGCCAACAGACAGCACTCGGTGTCGGGCACGGAGAAGCAGTCCTTCAGCTGAGCCACATCTTGAGCCCCTCCATGCCCATGCCAGTGCCAGACATGGGGAGACAAAGCAGCCATGACCTCTGTTCTCAGAGGTCAGCGTCCACCCCAGGAAGCTAAAACAAGTACACAAAGAAAACACCGGGTGGAAAGTGGCAGGTGCCAAGAGGCAGGGAGCAGCAAAGCTTGTGCTCCGGGAAGGTGGGTGTTGAGGTCAGAAGTCATCCCTCTGCCCCTCTGGTGAGAAAAGGGACACATTTTGTGCTGGGCTCTTGGTGCAGCACGACTTCACTGGCCGTTCTCAGCAGCCTGGGAGGCGAGTCCCCACCCTCAGTCAGGGAGTTGAGGAAAAAAGGTGCAGCGATGAGCTTTGCCCAGAGGACCCATCGTTAGTAAGTGGTGGAGCCAGCATTTGAACCCAGTTCTGGCATCACCCCCACCCCACATCCCCCGCCACACTGCTCCCCCTCCGCCCCACACCCCTGACTCCCCACCCACAAAATGACAGATTGGTCGGATGTTCCCTGCAACTGTTCCTGGGCCTGACATTTTAAATGGATGTTGAGGTTCTGCAGAAGAAGCTGCATTTCAGCTCGACCTTGAAGAGTAGGCAAGATTTGGACACTGGAGAATGGGGGAGGGGCATTCCAGGCAGAGGGAACTGTGGGCCAGGGCAGGTCACGTCCCAATGGGAACTAGAAGAGGAGAGCTCAGAGGAGCCAGAGTAGAGAATGTGGGACCAGACTGGTCTGGGAGCTGAGCTAATGGGACAGAATAAAAGGGGTGGGGGTCGCGGGCACCTGGGCCCTTACAGACCTCTTCTCTAGTCCCTTAGGAAAGCAAAGCCAGACAGACTGGCTCCTTGTTGGGCCCTACCATGCCCTGGGAGGAGGGGGGGAGGGGAGGGAGGGCCCTCCAAGGTGTTCAGGAATCTCGAGTCCCCCCTCTCCTCCCTGCTCCCTCTCAGGCCCGGATCTGAGTCCAAGAGAAATGTCACAGGTCCTCCAAGGTTACACCAGCTGGGGCCTGACCAGAGCAGGAAGCAGCTCCCAAGGCCACCGTCCAGCAGGGTCAGCAGGCATGCCCGGACCGGGGCCAGGCCCGGGCTGCTCTGGGCTTTGTCTCTTCGTGTCTTGAAACCTCAAGAGGTCACTTGATCTTGCCTCTGGCTCTGAGCAAGAAGAGGCCCTCACGTCAGGGGTCAGCCAGCCCTGCCCTGCCTCTTCGGGGCTCCTCTTCCCAATCCCCGAGGCTGGCCTCCCTCCGATCCTAGCTCTTGCCTCTCCCGCAGCCATTTTCAGGCCAGGCCTTCTTGTTCTGAGCCCTCATTTCCTGGAAATCTAATCTCTCCATGAACATGCCCTCTCACGCTCCTTCTCTCCCACATCCCTGTGGCCCTGGAAGAAGAACCCAAGGGAGCAAAAAGCCCTGAAACGGGGGGAAGAGGAGAAGGGGGTGGAAGAGCATGCCTGTGGGCACAGACAGGCCTGTGTGCAGAACCTGATTCCATCTCAAACCGGCCAAGTGACCTGGTGAGTCACGTCACCTTGCTGCATCTCTTATGAGCATTAAATGAGATTACCCGTGAAGCACTTAGCCGAGTCCCTGGCACAGTGAGCACGTAATCGGTGGCTGGTAAATGGGGGGATAAAATCCTCCTCACCACCTGCATGCTGGGGCCTCTGATCCAATCTGTGTGAGTCACACACCCCTGACCTTCGCCTGCTTGCTCAGGACTCTGCAGCCAGGCCTCCTCCACCTGCTCAACCAGATTCCCTCCTGGGAAGGACCTGGTATCTAGCTCGTGCAAATGTGGGGGTTTTGGTGGGAGATGAAATGCTGCCTAGGTCTTTGCCTTAGCAACTAAGTTCTCCCTGGGGAGCCAGAGAGACAAGGTAAGTCACAGGCCCCACCCCAAGGGACCGGAAGCCAGCTGGGTATCAGGACCCAGGTCAGCTGGAAGGCCTGCCCACACACGCATCCACACCAGTCCTCTCTCTCCGTGCAGATCCTCTGAAAAAGATTTCCTGTGGCTTTGTAACAGGTCATGGTTTTTCCCCCGGCAGATGTGCCACCTTTGTCACCATAACTTCTGCTGCCGTAGTGCCCTCTGTGTATGCTGGAGGGCAGAAGGAAGTAGGTTAATTTTGTATTCAACGCGCATGAGCCAGCCACCTTTCTGGGCCACGCATTGCAGCTAGTGCTGAAGGTACCGCTGAACAAGACAAGCGGTGTCCTGCCCTCATGGAGTTTGCAGCCTATAAATAGGTGTTTATGAAAAACCTCCGTGTGGGTATCACTCTCCAGGGAAGGGGATGAAAACAGTTCCACCAGGGACGCCAGGGACCACTTGTGAACCATGAGCAGG